TTTCTCGACAAGGAGGCTAGTGTAATCGCATTTCCTTGTCGGGGTTTTCATACCTTCATATGAGGCCTTAGTGAGGCCACCTTTTGTTCTCTTGCAGCCGCGACGAGCCTTGGAAAAAGTCCCACGCCGAAGAATTCGACCGGGGGACATGTAAAAAACATGATGAATGTATTTTGCACGAGTCGGAATCTATGCGGAGTTCAGGATCTTCAAACATTTGGATTAATGCTACTGATTGGTAGAAATATCTCAACAGATAGGGGGGAACAGATTAAACTGCAATCCGATTTTTACGACGTTGTACGAAAGCTATGGTAAACGGTAATGCATAGACAAAGCTGACTCTATTTTAAATAGGCAGTGCACAAATAAAGGCTAAGCCCTCAACTCAATCCGCTTGTGTATTCATTGTGTAATAATTACCTTTATGAACACCAGAAAATCATTTTCTTTCAAAGACGTCTGGATTCGTTAAACCTGATAAAGAATATCCGAATTCGTTTAATTGCTAAAAAATAAGCATGATTTGTCAAAACAAAAATGGAGTTGACTGTTTTATAAAGTTATACGCGTCTGGTTTTCCTCTAGACAATACACAATTAGACAAGTCCAATTCGATTTTGCAATCAATCAGACTCAATGAAAAAAGCTTTCTACGCTACTAGACCGTTCTCCATTTTTGGTATAGTTTGGTACTGAAGCCCACACTGCCTTCGGGTTACCATGCTTTAGTCTCACGCTTGTTACAATAAAACCCCTCAACAACGACTAAAAGAACAAAGCCCATTGTTTATAGTTCACTTCGTACGCAGTTTTATTTTTTTTATTGAATTTCCTCAGAGCATTCACTAATCGATTTTCTACACTTTATAAGTGGCTACACAGTCTACACTTCAGTAAGCCTCCATTATAAATGGCATGCATTATTAGAAGTAAGAACCCCTTAAACTTCCAAAGACTATTATGAGCAAAACTCAAATGTTTTATGCGTTTGTAATCATCGTCGTCTCATTCACACAAAAATATGACTAGCTCGCTTCTGTTCAGCCCCGCCTTATACCTTCCACGTAAGAAAGTATCATCAAACAACGAGGAAGGTTATCGGTGGATCACTTGCATAAATTTTAGGTGCTTTGCATCAAACATATCTAATGTTCTAAGAAGAGAGAGAGGGAAAAGGACGAGAAACCAATAAATCAGATCAGGACTATTTAAGGGATTATTCTCTGAAAAGAGATTTATCTGGTGTGTGCATAGATCATCCCAGTACAAGTTGTGTCGGAACCAAATTGATGTTGACCATAAATATTGTAAGCTTAATTAGATCCATCCTAAGGTCAGGATATGCAAATCAGTTTACCTCGTTAACGAGGCACATAAAATCGACGGTAAGTAAACTGAAAAAGTAAACCAAGCACCGGAAATTCAATGAAATTCGATGAATCGGAATAGGAGCACGTAACGTAGATAATTTCTTTTCTGCTGATCAAAGAGAAAATTTAAAAGATGAAGTCTTGAACGGTCCTACGGCATTTCATCGACGACAGCATGTAATGGTCTATGGGTTCAGAAAGTGCTATTTCCCTTCAGATGTATTTAACGGTTTCAACAGATCTCACTTATCGCTTGTTGTCGGTTATTGTTATTCGGGTGAAGAAATAGAACTTGAACTGATTGAGAACGAAATTATGATGTGAAAGTTTATATCGAACAGGCTTTTTAATACCTCGGAAATCTCAGTCGTTATTTTCTCTTCTGATTATACATATATATATATATATATATATATATATCCATGATGAACAGATCTCCAGCTTAAAACAAAATAAACTACGTTGTGATTCATTCTGATAAGGGGTTTTTATAAGTTACTGTTATCTTATGTTTACAACTTGGAATAAAGTATTGACCCTCGAAATTTTCCGATAAAAACGAGCAACTAAGTGACTCTATCATCTATCAGTGTTTTGCCAAGCTATGGTAAATTTGCCGCGTTTAAAAGGTATTCAGTATAATTTCATAATATCCAATGAAGAACGGCTACGAGGATCTCAGTAAATTTGAGTAGCAAATGTTAAATAAAATAATTAGTTTTATTCATCTGTTAATCACTTTAAACATATATACATTCAGATATATATATACTGCTTTATTTTCAAACCTGGTGCCAGTGCAACATTAATAATAATAGCAGTAAATGCAGGAATATGGGTACAAAACAGAACGAGAGATCAAACATTTATATCAGATAACGATGACCGGAATAAGAATCCTTTTTATTTGTGCTTCATTGTTTTGCTATTCTATTGCTTCGTTTTCCTCGGGGGAGGGTTGTGGGAGGTTGACTTAGACATTTCCGGCATTCACTCTACTGGTTCTTCTCCTGAGCAGTAACCCTTGGAGTTCCTAACGAACTACGTTTAGCAAACGTCGAACAGCACTCAGCCAACTGCAAAGGAGGATCTACTACTTTGATCCATTAGGTTGTAAGCAGACCGCCGTAAAACTNNNTCGATGCAAAAGGCATTGGGCACTATGTGTCCATTCACTAGAGCCCATGTAAAGTGATCACAGATTGATTGGAGAATCGTTATCTGTATCCAATATGCATAATCGGATATCCTTATTTTTTCATCTGGCGTCCACTAGTCGGAAGTACTGGGTCAAATATAAAGATGATTGAATACTACAAGCCAGGAAAAATTCATGGAAAGAGCCGGGAATAAAAAATGTAGAAATTTTCACATAGGTACAGATATCTTGGTNTAGATGGTTTCCTCTTTGCGTGATGGGATTCCTGTTGAATTTCACCCCCAATTCCTATGTTAACAAAGCTGAGAAAGACTTTGAAACCCTCAACTGCAAGGGTCATTACACGAACAGATTCCTGCCAGTTCCAAAGAAGAACCTCGCACCGGAGAGAGGCGAAATGCAGACACTACTGGGATGCTTCAAAAACCAGGCGGTCCAGTACGGTTTGTAAAGCCCGCTTATTTTTTTCCGAGCAAGTTGAAATCCTTGCTATACTCTAGACCGTCAAATATGCTAACTACTAGGACCAGTTCTAGTTCACCGGTTGTGTGCTGATACACCGCTTGGAGAATAGAAGAATACACATCAGGTACCCTTTTCCTCAACAAGCAATTTAATCTAACCACAAGTGACCTAAAAGTCAGCCTGTTACTGTATTACACAAACATTCTCTGTTTAGCTGAAAATTAAGGAACTCTCTAGAAGACTGACTGTACTCATCAATGGAAGATAGAAAGGAAACAGTACGATGAACCAAACGAGTAAAAGCAGAGATTATTAGAAACGACATGCTAAACAGATGTGTAGTTGCAAGGACAATAATGATATAAAGGACAGTCAAATGGGCCTTCAGGTGCATCAATCAAGTTGATTTGATAACCGGAGGGAAGCAATACTGGTTAAATCGAAGAAAAAGTAGTTATTCTATTTTGTTTGGACATTCGGAAGTAGCAATGCTTGTAAAGGTATCGGTGAAACGTCTTCAGTATACCTTTCATCTACCATTTGACAAACCTGAGCAACTCACACACTATATTCCACTTAAAATGTTCATTATGGTGAAACAAGCTGATTTTCCCGAAAAGTAGTAAGGCGATACGACACAAAGCGTAACGATAAACTTCCGTTCAAACTGTTCACAACAGGGTAACAACACATCGCATAGTATTGGCCCATGGAAATGAGCTCAGGTGCACCGCGGTTTTTGCAGACGTCGGATCGATAACCTACATGTCCTGATTTGAATCCCTGGGGGATTCGGTGAATGTTAGCCGCCGATGATTCGCAGCAAAGATAAAACAGCTGTACATCGCTTTGAAGGCCTGCCAGCTGGAAGTAACACGTTGTTTCGGCTCCAAAAATGCGTGAATAAGATTTCTTACAGTTTTCTGTCTTTCCTTTTGAACAGAAGTTGATATCTCTCGTGAGGGCATTCGTGCCAACACATCAGAAATCGCTGAAGCTAAGCGATCAATATCCCAGTTGAGGGCTGAACGTTTTCGCTTGGGAGAACAGCAAATAAACCAGTTCGCGTAAATGCCTTTCTGGACTTGAAAACGTATTCAGTGAGCCTACCTACTAGCATAAATGATGACAGTTTTGTGAACAACGGTGTTGATTGTTGTTTTTGTAGCTCGGGTAGTATAACTTGCTGTTCATTTGCTCGCCGAGCTTGATAACTGTGTTGCAAACGTCTAAACACCAATCCGGTTGTCTCAATGCAGTAATAATTACTTCATTGCGAATGTCAACTCGATTGGTAAAGAAACGTTTGGAATACAGTTATCAAGCTCGGAGAGCATCTGAACATCAAGTAGCATAAATATATTCATAAGATCATGCGCATGTGAATGATATGCCAATCTCACCTAAGAATTCTGTTGCATGACAGAGGAATCTCATTAAGCGGTTACAGCATCAGTTTATTGTTATTATTAGTCAAACCGGATACTTTGATTTTACTATCTACTACACAGGGAATACAAATACTGTTAGATATTACTATTTCGTATACTCTTTATGAATGTTGGATGTGATTGCTGCACGTTTAATCACCTACCAATGACGGATGGCTCGGAATCGACAAAAATCGCTCGTGGTACAAACTGTCCGAAAGGCGACACTTCGAATAAGGTTTCGTGGGCTGCGTTGTCCAAATCTCGAGTCTGTTCAACAGCTTTATTCAGCTCCGAACCGGGTGCTGGAACGGGTTTCTTTATTGCACTTCTCATTTCCGTCGTATCAATCAGTCTAGAATCCAAATCTTCCACATTCAGACGTTTCGCTCCAGCCGTTTTTGTATCACTGATCCTTTTCTGAAGTTGATCGAAAGCGCTAGCTTCTTTTCGTCCATCTGGTTTAATCTGATGCTCCAAACAATAGAGTTCCCACAGTGCATTGGCGGTTTGAACTCCAGCTTGGCCAACGTGCAAGTGGATCAGCTGTCTCTGACAGGTAGGGACAAAACGCGGAGATGAACGTTGCGGTACAAAATACTTTCTCGCGCGAGAAAGCTTGCTCAACATAATTTGTTCATTTTGTTGAACACTTGAGCCAAAATACTTTTAATGTACGAGAGAATTATCTATGTCATCAACGAGTTTTGGGAAATCGATGGATGAAGGTTGGTTCAAACTGAGGACAAGTATGATCGTCTGAAAACTGGGAGCTAAACTGAAATAAACAAAATACCTCACGGTACATCAAGAGTTCACTGGAAAAGTTGCGGTTCCAAACAGTTTTGATCAATTCATCAGGACCTTCCCAACTGTAAGCCGACAATTAATTCTGGATATGTTTGATCCCTCTATCGTCCTGGAGCCCGCCTTAATAAAACTACCTTCTTTTGAATCCTAGGAGAAACATAGAAATCGGGGAAAGCAGTAGTTTGTAAGGTTTGGAGGAAAATATCGTTTGGGCCTCAATCAAACACGCCAAAATAATTTGGCTACATTCCTTCTCTTTTTGTGAACCCTAAACTTTTTAGAGTAAAGACGTGATCATCCTAAGGCATGAGACAGGATCAAGATCTCCACATGTCATTTTGGTTTAGAGCGAACATCCATGCCTCCACGCATCAATCACTCGTCATCATTCCCATCCACCAACTGGAATTCACGAAGAATGACGCACAGCTGATTTGGCTGAAGCACATGCTCTCCTCTTCCAATTAATGTCCTCTTAGTCCACCGTTCGTCTACCAGTGGCGACTCCTCTATTTCCAATTTCCTGCTTTCAAGGCTTGAGAACCTCATGGGTGGTGATCTCAATTGCCAATTCACCATTGTTATGGATTCCAATATTCACAACATGAATTTGTTGTGACGTTGAAAACAAAATCCGATAGGCGAAACAAGCTACTTTCGATAAGCTCATCAACTGATCATTTACATTTATATAGGTAGAACATTTGTACACAGGGTAATAAGATCCACCTCGCACAGGATCAAACAATATTAATTGCTCCACCTATAAGGCCAGTTGACGAGTTTATAAAAACAGCTTGTTTCGTCTATCTGATTTTATTTTCAACAGACCAAACTGACTTTAATTGGAAGCAAAACGTAACAGTTGGTTTTGTTCTAAAGCCTGAGGTAATTAACCACCTCCTACTAGCCTGTGCCTGATTGTGAATGTGCATGTGAATGTCCACATCCATGACCATGTACGTACCACCGTGCTCCAGCCGTACACTCATCATATACAGAAGTAAACTATTTGGTCCAACAGAACAAATGTTAGACTTGATTCTTTGTTCAGTTCCCGGGCTCTTTCCTGTCCCCAAAATCTGGATGCAACCTTTCGGTGTAATAATTCTCTCGATTAGACTGGCTCGTGAATATTCGTGATTTTATGCTCGGAATGGCCCTCGTCAAGTTCCCACTGTTTCTACTAGTACCTATGATTTCAAAGCGGTTGCTTTTTACGGGAATGCACATTTTCACCCATTAATGAGTCAAACCTGACAAATCACAATCCCCTGAGTGGTAGTTCAAACATTTTTGTGCTGTTGGTGTTGACGAGTTCTTCAGGCTGAAAATGCTTGTGCTGTGCTGTGCTCCCAAGAGTATCTTGCTTCGATCATTGGTGACACGTATTCATTTGCCAGCTTTGTAGCCCGTTTCGTTTAATCTTAAAGTAAACGTTTATCATTGCAAGCATGTAAGCTTACACAGTTTATGCAAATACAAATACAACCATATGCAGAGCAAACAAACATTTGACTCTTCTAAAGGAAAAATAGCCGCATTCCTCCTACATCGGCTACTAATTACAGTCTCTTGCCGAGGTGATATCCCGCCAGTTCAACCACTCTAACTTTCCCCTCATCAGAAACTCCTCCGGCGCACTGTTGTTTGAACAGCTCTGAAATGCAGTCTTTATCACCTTCCCATATCCTTCCCTGGTACGATTTACCGATTGTTTCCCTCGTCTATCTTTATCCTCTGACATTCCTTGACAACTCTTCTCAGACGAGGGCCCCAGATATTTTTCAAAATATGATTTGATTTTTCTTATTCCCCACAGGTTCTCTCTCTTCAGTTCAGTGTATTTCCTGTATCATGGAAAAATAAGCAATTCTCCTTATTCTCGAACTTTCTGATCCTTATCAACAACAACAACAAACATCCGATTTCCCTCACCGTCATTTAGAAAATAATGAAAACTATCACCTTTGGGCAACTTATCTTACAATTTGGACAATTTGACTCCTGTTCAATACGACTTTCTACTGTGTCGGTTCATTCTGTGAGTTCACGCTTCCTTCAAGGTTCCATACTTTTTCCCACTCCAGTTCTCCAGTCCATCAACATTCCACCATTTAAATTCCAGAATATGCCCATTTTGACATGAGAACACATTCAGAGGCGAACAATTGATTTCATTGATTCATCTTCTAGCCTGTACAAATCAAATA